GAACATTCCAACCAATCGCGTACGATGAGCGTTCTGGAACATTCTGGCCTACGGCGTGCCACACGCTGATTGGTTGTTTCCCACGCTGTAATGCCCTCGTGGCATTTCTTGAATATTTGTGTCGCACGCGTGAGCAGAAGGCGTCACGCCTCCTCGAAGCAACACCACACGCTAATTGGCTGTCCATGCTTATAACGCAACTGACTTGGCCTGTTGCGGCGCCTGTTGTCACATTATATTATCACCTTAGGCCGTGAGCACGTTGCGGTTTCCGCCTCCGTAACAAAACTAAACTGGGGGAAGAGAAAATAGACTAACAAAACGTGTTGTCGGGAGACGGTTATCAACTGTGACAATGTAGCCGGTCCAGGTCTTCGAAGTAAATTTACTAATAAACCCCCGTGACATGACTCTGTTGTAGTTTTTTGCCGAACATTAAATGTTCACTTGTTTTGCGGGCTAATGATGCGCATGTATACATTCTGCCAGTCTGGTTTTTTCCCCTGTTTTCTGCGACTATTTACAGTCATTCTTTCGTCTGCACTGTCTTTTTTAGGAATTGAAAGCCCTACGCGACAACAAAATTCATCACCTCTTGATCGATATTCGCCCGTCGGTGGAGGTTGAGATCTGCAGACTGAAGGACTGCCTCTGTGAGTTCAGAGTTTTGTGGTTACTATCTCTCTGTGCCCAGCGAGCATAGGTAGACCCGGTTCTTGCTCACGGTCTCTGACCTGGTTACGGAACGCGCTCGTCCCGTTGTGTTTTGGAGCTCAATCTAGAGCTTTCGCAGGAAGTGGTATAACGACTTTTAATATATGATGGAGTGGGGCCGACAAAGGCAAGGGAGACCGTTATGGTCATTTCTTGCTTATTAGCCGTCATCAACCAGTCCTACCCAATCTCAGGGTTTAAAAGAGATGGCTGCTGCAAACTAGTTTTAAGAACTCACATATAGTGTGACCAAGATTGGTTAGGCGTCTGAATATCAGTGTAGAATAGATCTTTCATCTTGCTCTCTTTGCTCAAACCTGTAAGGATGATTTATATGGTTCTCTAAACAGGACGTAGGAACAGGAACGCCCGGTTAAGTGATAAAAGTGGTCCTGGGCACAATTCCGGGGAAGGGTAATATTCCCGTATCCTACCTCAGACACTAACCCATAGCCCCCATTTTTGCCTTAAGCCGTAAAACTACAGTTAGCACTAACCCCCACCTGCACCCTAGACTTAACCATAACTCTCACCTAAAACCTAAGAATATTCCCTCTGGCCTAAATTTCAGGCGATCTTTGTTATTGTGTCCCGTTAAGGATGTCATACATATGCGTAATCCCTAAAGTGCCATAAGTCCTGGATAACCACACTTTCTGCAAGCCGGCTATAACTCATGGGGGGGAAGACACGCGGTGGAATATCCTACAAAACATAAAGGTAAAGGGTTATAAAATACTCAAAGTCTAAAGGCTTACCTGATATCAACACCTGTTATAGAGAAAGGCCTGATTTCAACTTCTGAATTTACGTTTCTTCACACATGAGTTAGCGTGCTAGGAATAGGAGTATAGAGTGCTGACATGCTGATGTACGGCAAGACACATGAAAGAAGCTTTGGCGTATAGTACGAAAAGACTTCGCAGCCATTAATTCAGGTTGGAGAGGATGACCGACGTCACTAAGAATGCGATCGGCAAATTGTTTGACCGTTCTAAAATGCCACTGTATTATAATATAACCTAAAAAGTCATAGGAGACACCGGCAGCTGAAGAGGGCACTCGGAGGATACGTTTAAAAATGACCAGGTCTTTTTAACGTAAGGCTAGAAAAATAACTGGAGAGCAGTAGAAAGAACCCCTTCTATTTTAGATAACCCGTTGCGCAACCAACCAGAAGGGTGGGCAGCTCTAGCTGACCGAAGACTGAAACGTTACAATGTGAGCAGCGAAGCTGTTTGCGAGATCCGAGTCTCTGAACAAGGACAAATGAATGATGCCCCGGTTAAGTAATAAAAGTGGTCCTGCGCACAATTGCGGGAAGGGTGAATATTCCCGTGTCCCAACCGTAACATAAACCTAAACCGTAGCCCTACTCATAATCCTAGTTCTCTCTTAAGGTTAACCCTAACCCTAATTTACCTTAATACTAACCATTCATCTAAGCCTATTTTTCTTGGAGTTTAGCGCAAGGACATCTGTATTGCAGGCAGTTCCTGTAGTCATATCCTTTTTAGAGGATCATATAAATCATTCTTACCCTAACAGGTCGACGTATGATTTTCTTGTGGTTTATTACACATACTTTTTGAAGCTTCCTCAGCCTGTTTGTTTGATGCAATCAAACTGAGTTTGATGTCCGCTGTTGAAGTACGTCATTTAAACGAAGTTTGTTTTCTGCTCTTAGATATACCCCTGCCCGAACTTTATCGTGACTCAAATCTTACCCAGATTTGTTCGCATATCAGGAACGCCCAACCTCCAGACTCCAAAAAACCCTATCCTGGTAAGCGACGAGGCTGTTGACTTAATTTTTTTACACTTATTCTGTCATCCACTCGAGTCGTCGTCTTTTCTCTGTTTATCACCACTGTGGACCAATCGTTCTACGAACTGAGCGTAATTTCCGAATTCGAGTGGGCGTTTAAAGGTGGTCGATGGAAACGTACGCCTTGTTTACTTGATCGCTCACAGCCAATCAACGCAGTTTTCTCCAAGACGCGCGTGTTTTCTCTTTTTTCAGTTTGTCAGATTAAGCCAGTTGACTGCAGTCTGTGTTTCCGGTGCCTAGTCTTGGGGCGATACTACCTAAACCGGTGTGTCTGTCTATTCTCGGATGTCCGATAGAGAAATTTCCACTGGCTCGATCGCCCCCTCTACGAACTTAGTAGATCCCACTGTTACTAATTAGTATTTAGACTTGCCTTATCCAGCTTATCACATAAAACTGACCAATCAGTATCATGACATGGCTATCTCAGTTAGCCATTTAAAATTAAATCCACCGGTTCCCGCTGCCTTATATAGCCTGACCATAAAAATGATGCGCCTTGGAGAAGGTAACCTCAAACCAATGATTTGAAGGGCTGTTAGGGATCCGTCCCCGCCAGGAAATGTCAAGTTGCCGATAAAAGCGAATATTCGAGTTCCAGGAAGTAGAAGATGCAATCGCTGGAACAAGAAGTTTATTTGCCTGGCGTTTCAGATTCCTTCGAGAAGCCTTCATCAGAGGTAATTGTAGAATTGCGTGGCACCTGCACAGATAAGAAGCTACAGTTTAAAAGCTGGAGTGTCCACCAGAAAGCATACCAGGGAATGCTGGGAAAAGTGGTCAAAACCTTCAATTTTTTCTGCCCAACTATTGTGCTGGTCTAACTATTTGACTATGACAACCAAGTCTACAGATGCCACCCCTCTGTGTATTTTCATCCCTCATCGCCTTACTTTTCAAGAAGTCCTTTTTTCCGCCAAGGGTGGCAGTGCCCATAGCCCCCGCGTTTACCAGGTCTGAGGAATGATAAATAAATAAATCTGACCATAGTCTTGTATTGTGCATCTACTAGTGGAGCAAGGAAAAACAGACTCTAACTCCTAGGTGAAATGGGACGAGCATATTCCATGACCAGCCCCTGAGGGCCTTACCAATTCTCATTCCCACTCGCAACCGACAAGAACAACGAGCCATTGGTAAAGTGTGACACTCGGTGATCAGATGTCCCGGTTCGAATCTCGGGGATTGCTACCCCTACGTTTGGCTGTGACTAGCTGACGATGGCTAACAAGCCAGAAATGGCCATTCCGGTCTCCTTATAGACAGTCGAATATACCAATTTATTCCAAGGTAGCGATGAATTTCTGAGGAAATTGAAAACCTAAAGTTTCCAGACTGTAATACCTACCAGGAAGTGCTGGAAAAGTGGTGTAGACCCTCCATTTTTTGCCCGGCTATTGTGCTAGGCTAGAAAAAAGAAAATCTTGCTTTATCTACGAATAAACATCATAAATTTTCAGCGAAAAAATGGCTCCATTCACGGAGGTTAAGTACTGGGTCATGTTAAAAGGTAAAAGGCCATGTAATACTCACAAGTCAAGTTTTACACGGTATCCACGTCTACTATGGAGACAGATCAGATTTCAACTTTCTCAGTTTCCGCTTCTTCACACGTGAAGTAGCGTGCTAAGAATGGGAGTACCGAGTTCTGATATGCTGTTGTGCGGCAAGACATATGACGGAAGCCTCGACGCATGGGACGGGAAGACTTC